TCTTCTATTCTTTATTTTATTTTGTAGTGTGTTAATTTCTTCTTTGTTGCCTTCTTCTTCCATTTTCTCTTCTTTGTCTTGTGTTTTCTCTTTATTTTCTTTTTCATTTATTATTCTTGCAGCTTTACATCTATCATTCATTTCTTTAATTGGATTTTTGTTTTTGATTCCTTCTTCAATTGTTTTAATATCTTCACTTGTCCAATCTTTTGTTTTATCTTTGAATTCTTCTTTGATTTTCTCTAGTGTTTTCTTCTTTCTTATTGAATATACTTCTTGGAGAATATTATACCATTTCTTTTCTTTACCTTCGTACTTTTTAAGTAATTCTTCGTATTCTCCTTTTTCCCATTTTCTTGTTATTCTTTTAATTTTCTTTTGAATTTCTTTTGTTGTCAACCATTTAGGTTTCTTATTTGTATAATGTTTATTACCATTATACTTGCCTTGTTTTTTATTTGTTTTTCTTTGTGTTCTTCTTTTCCTAAACCCTTTTTTTCTGTTATTTCTTTTATCATAATTATTATGCATTTTATTGCTATTGAAGTCCTTTCTTTTCTTTGAACTTGAATACCTGTGTCTTGTTTGATTTTCTTTACAAGACCCTATGGTATTACTCAATAGCCATGGCAACAAAATTTGTTGTATATTCTGCATTGATAAAAGGATCTATCCTTCTTTCTATTTTAAAAAAACAATAATAAATTTTTTAATTTACAATAAATTAATTTGTATTTATTATTTTATTTATTTTTATTATTTTTTATTATAAATTAATTTTCTATTTATTATTTATTAATTTTTATTTTTAAATTTAATTATTAAAGATATACTAAGTTTTTTATTATTAAAATATGAGTGTTTTTCACTTTCTTATTGAATAATTTTTGGATTGTCTTTTTTCCTCTTTTAGCTATTCTTGCACCACACCCCATTCTTTATTTCTCTGAACGTTACTTTGTGTTAAATTTTTAGGTTATCCTCTTTTGGTCTGTTTTATTTTATTCTCTTTTATTTTTTTGTTTTATTAGTTGTTTTGTTTTTGTGTAGTATTTTATGAATAATCAATGTTATTTTGTTTATGGATTATTCTTTTGGTTTACTTAAAAGATAAAATGATGCTCTTATTCGTCACACCATGAAATGATACAAACAGTCATAAAAGTATTGTGGTTCATTGTTATGTCTTTTTATAAAGAAAGATTTATTTAGTTCTATTTGGATTTTATAAATTGATATGTTCTTATCTTATTTTTTCTCTCATTCGTATTAAACGATTTTTCATTTCAACCTCTATTAAAATATAGTTATTAATAATCATAATTATTTTTATTAATGTGCTAGATTTTTTAATTCTTTTTTTTTTATCATAGTTTTATTTATTAAATACGAATATATTAAACTTATTTAATTGAAAGAATAAGAAAGTATATTAATGGTATTAATATTTAGATTTGTTATGAAGTTAAATGAAGGAATAAGATGTTATTTATTATAGTTTTCAGAAGAATAATAATAAAAGAAATAATTGATATATAAAAAGAGAGTGTTATGAATTAATAAAATAAATATAGTGTTAAATATAAAAGAGTATTGATAAGATATGGAATTTAATAAATAATGAAAATGAATAAAAATATATTTAAGAAAATAAAGAAATAAAAAAGAAGAATAAGATAAAAAGTATTAAAAAGAATAAAATAATCAATCAAATTAAATAGAATAAAGATGAATTTATTAATTATCTAATTAATTAATAATATAATAAAGTGAATATCTAATTATTAGATTTTGAAAATAAACAATTATTAACAACAAATGTTTATTGTTTCATATTAAATAATAAATTATTTGTATTGATATTTATTTGTTATCATCTTTTTATTGAATTTTTTTAGTCATATGTTTTGTTAATAATAAGATAATGTATTATCATAAATGATAGAATTAAATCATAAATTGAATAATTATGTTCATTTTGAGTTTCTTTCAAATTTTAAAAATTCTTTTTCTGAATTTATGATAATATTAAAACAAAATATTATTGTTAGTACAATAATCTTTATCAATACAATCAGAAATTATATTTAAATATTATTTTTATTTGAAAAAATATGAATTATATATAAATTATCTCTTTCAATATTCTATTTTTAATTAAAGAATTATCTTAAACTAACATATATTCAAATAATTTTAATCTACAAATAGTTTAAATAATGGGAACAAAATAAATGATATTGAAAAATGATTTAATTTATTAGATAATTAACATATTATCTAACATTATAGTTGTTTATTAATTGAAAGAATAAATTATTCATATTAAAAACAATAAAATAAATAGTTTATTGATTAATATGTTCATAGAGAAGAAGTTTGATGAATAGTTTTATTTTTAATCTTAAAAGCTCAACAGAACTGAGAGAAACAATGAATATAATATTCTTATTGATAATATAATGTAACAATAAGATAATGATTGAAGAGATTAATTATTTCATAAATTATTTATGAAATAAAAAACTAAAATATAAAATTTGGTACTTATTTTTCAATTTTGTTGATAATTATCAGATTCAACAATTTTGTGAAAGTTTTATTTTAATATAAATCAAGAGAAATATGTTATAGAGAAATATAAAACATCTTGTAGACTTATTTTTGCATCAAATTATAACTATATGATAGAATAACAATTACTGATGAAGAAGATAAGATAGAAATATATATATTGTTATTAATATTGAATTTCATGATAAAAGAACAGTAAAACATATAATTGAAATTATAAACAAAGTATTCTTTTTAATACTATTAAAATAATGAAATGAATTTTAGTTCTTTAAATTTAAAGAATACAGAATGTATACATGTTAATTAATTCAAAATGAATATATAATAATAGATGATGACTAAATAAATGATTAATTCTTAATATTTTGTTAAAAATTCACCATTAATTGATGTATCAAGTACTTAAAATTAAATGATTATTTATATTCATTAATACTCAGATTCATGGTATCCTGAACTCATACAATTATTAAATATAAAATAGTAATTAAGAACTCATGTTGATAAAACACTTGAATTATTAAATATAAAAGATATTTCTATCTTTCTTATCTAATTGATAATAATCTTTGTTATCAATCAAAAATAACAACAAATAAACAAAGTTAAAATATATGGAATAGAAATATTAAGAATAATTAATGATAATTACGAAATTACAACAACAAGAAATAATTTAAAAGAACAAAACAAGAAAATAATTACTAATTACATAAATAAAATAAAATATTATAAATACTTTTATGAATAAAAATCAATAATGAAAAATACATAAATAGAAATAAATTTAAAATGATATTAATATAAATTAATGAAAGATTTTAATAAGTAAAAGTAATAAAACAAATATAGAAGTAATAAAATTAGAATAGAAACATTAGAAGATATAGTAAAGTGTTTAATATCAGAAAAAGAAAGATTTAATGATATAAATAATTTTCTAGAAAGTACAGAAGAGCTAAAGAAGAGTTTTCTCAAGAGAGTGAATGAAAGTATATTCTCACCGAACAAAAAGTTGAAAGTTTTGTTTGAAAGTTCATTTATCTTTTATAATTGCTTCATTTTATTTTTCTCTCTAATTCGCATGGAAAACAGATTAGATATCATTTCTCATTATGTAACAACTTTTCTTATTAAATAGATGTTATGTTTATAAGTTATTATGTTACGATTAATAATACCTAACAAATTTTGATGTAAAAAATACTAAGAAATAATAAAGAAGAAAATTGGAGAAGAAACCAAATGATGGAATTTAACAATAACAAATAACATTAAACCAAATGGATTTTAACAGTACACGAACTTCATTCTAAAACCACCAATTTGAATCATAGCACGATCAATAAGAGAACACTCTCCTTGTTCTCTAACATGTGCAATCCCATCAATATGTGTTCCATTTCTACCAATTGATAATAATTGATAAACCCGTTGTTTAGGGTCATAATCAATTTGGGCGTGCAGATGTGAAACCGTTTTTGAATCAGTGAATGGTCTTAAATTGATAAATGTTCCTTCTTCTTTAAACTCTTTTCCTTCTCTTCCAAGGAATAATGGTAGTTTAGTATTTTCATTAATTTCCACAATTAATTTTTCATTGGCATCATCAACAACAATCTTAGCATTAGCCCTTTTTGTTTCTTTTACTTCTTTATTTTTTTTGTCTTCATCTTTATATCCCTTTGGATTCTTAGAACTTATGTTATTAACTAGATAATAAATAATTTATTAACTCTAACAAATACGAACTTTAACAAACCTTTTTCAAGTAAATCATTTTGATCTAAACATGCTCTATATACTTCATTTTCCAATAACTATTTTGATTAAGTACCTTTGTCTAAATGAAGGAATATCTACAAACAACTTCTAAATTTTGACGATTTAAGGATTTTTCCATTGAACTAATTTCTTTATCTAATTTTTTCATTTTCATCCATGTTGCGTATTGTAAATAAATAGGTCCCATACAATCAACGATAGTAGCAAATGTTTCTTCAGAACTAGTCATTCTATTTGATATTCAGTTCATTTCAACATCTTTTTTAAAACAAAAATTTATAAAACAATATTTATTATTGTGTTTTTAACCTAAAACATTATTTTTATTCTTTTTTGTTATTGAAAACCCTTTTTAATAATATCACTTCATCAAAATGTTAAAACCAATTTGTTTAAATTCTCACTAGAATACACCACACAAGCTATCACTTATTTCTTAATTCTGAACTTGCATTGTTGGGTGAGTTTCAACTTTCCACCAGTTGGTTGTCCAAGTGGTTGTCCACATTTTTGACAGACAATTTGTCTGTGAGCATGAGAGAAAGTAGTAGTAGTAGCTCCACATTTTGGACATTTAATTTCAAGGAAGTAACTGTTTGGAGTTGGGACTAATCTCTTCATCTTGTGAGCTTTAGCCTCAGAAGCAGCAGTTGGGTTCAACAAGTCAACTTCGATTAATGGCTATTAATTGTAAGTATTCTTATTATTGTCTTTAAACTGAGTGATAGTTAAGTAATAATCTATTTTATTTACTTACTTTATAAAAAAGAGGCAAACAAACCATGTGGCAAGCTGAATAACATTTGTAAGTTCTTCAAGGGTTTTTATTTTTTTCTTTGAACTTAATTTTTTTAGTTTTTAATGACACACAATATTAAGTTAATACTTGTATTTCTTTCTCTTCTTGCAGTCTCTTTTGCTGCTATTGTTGGAATGGATGTAGGAACACAATTTACAAAAACTGCTTTTATTGGACCAAAGAAAGTAGATATTGTTGAAAATGAAGAATCTAAGAGAAAAGATCCTACACTAGTTGGTCTTGACTTAAACAATAGAAGAGTTTTTGGTACAAAAGCTCAAAAATTAGCATTTAGTTCACCAAAAAGAATTTTTATGTATTCAAATAAATTAATTGGGAAATCATTCAATGACCCTTTTCTAGAAGTTTGTTTTTATTTATTCATTTGATTAGTTATGATATCTCAATCATATTAAATAATCTATGTGTTCTGATTTTTATCAAAACAAAGGTTCTGATTTATTTTTATGATTAAAATACTTATATGTTATCACTTTTTAACAATAGAGATATTTTTTAATCAAGAAATAGTAAATCATAAAATAACTATAATAGTATCTTCAATCTTTCATTCCATCAGAAATTGTTCCTCAAAATAACACTCGAATGTCTAGTCCTCCAGTATATCAAGTAGATAATATTACATTATCAGCAGAAGAAATTACTGGTATGATAATTCAAAGACAATTAAAACATGTTAAAACACAATACCAAACAACTGTAACTGATGGAGTATTAACTATTTCACCATCAAGTACACCAATTGAGAGATATGCATTAGTTCATGCAGCTAAATTAGCAAAACTTCAACCAATTGCATTAGTTAACTCACCAATGGCATTTGCTAGTTCATTAGCTGTTAATAGGGATTTATTTGAAACACCAACAAATGTATTATTTATTGATATTGGAGCTACATCAGTAGATATTGGAGTATTTAATTTTAGTTCAGAGTCAAACACAACAGGAACAGTCAAAGCATTAGGATATTATACATCACCATATTTTGGAGGACATAATTTTGATAAGGTAATTGCTGATATTGTTTTCAAAAGAGTTCAAAATCAAGTAGAAGATTCTGATGAAAAAGGAGGATTATATAGACAAATATTACAACAATCAGAAAAAGCAAAAATTGTTTTAAGTGTAAATAAAGAAACTAATGTTAAAATTATTTTACCAGGAGGAATTGATTGGTCAACACCAATTACATTAAAAGAATTTGAAGAAGCAAGTGAAGAAGTAAGAAAGAGATTAGATAATATTCTTAAAGAAGCAATAGACTTTATCGGAATTAAAAAAGAAGATATTAAAATGGTACAATTACTTGGAGGAGGAATGAGAGTTCCAATGGTATTAAAAACTATTACAGAATATTTTGGAGAAGAAAAAATTAATAGAAATGTAGATGCACAAGAAGGTGGTGCATTTGGAGCAGCATATTATGCATTAATGCAAGGACTTGGAAGAATGAAAAAACAATATAAAATTAAAGATTTTGTTCCAATTGATTGGTATATTAATTCACCATATCTTGATAAAGAATTTAAATTATTTAGTCATAAATGGACAATGGATTCAATAAGAACCGTTTCATTTAATAAAGTTAATAATACTAAAGATTTTAATTTTACAATTTCATATTCAATGATGGGAAGTAAAGATAAAGTTGCATATATGGTAGGTATTGGAAATCAATTTAATTTAAATCAAACATTAAATGAAAAAGGAGTAGACATTAGTTTAACATTTAAATTAAATTCGTATGGATTAGTTGATATTTCTAAAAGTGAAATGAAATATACAGCATGGACTAATTGTACTGAAAAGAAATATAAAATTATTAATGTTACAGAAGAAGTAAATGAAACAGAAATTAATTCAACAGAAAACATACCAAAAACAGAAAATGAAAGTATTACAGAAGAAATTAAAATTGAAGAAGAAGTTATTGAAAATGGTAAAGAACAAATAAACGAAGAAAGTATTGAAATTAAAGAAGAGATTAATAACAATGAAACAGAAAATCAAAACAAAACAAAGAAAACAAAAATAACACCAAAAGTTGAATGGGAAGAAAATATTTTTGAATGTGCTAAGAATGAAACAACTAGATTTAATTTTGTTATACTATATCATCCATTAATTAGTTTTATGAGTAGAAATTATCAACGATCAAAAGAAATATTAAAATGGTTTGATGATGTTGATGAATCATTTAAACAAATTGGCGAAATGATTAATAACTTTGAATCAACTCTGTATTCATTAAAAAAAGAAATCAATGAAAATGAAAGTCTTGAAAATGAAAAGAAAGAAGAATTTTTAAAGGAATTAAATGAACAACAAGAGTTTTTAGAATTTAATACTATTGATGATATTAAAGTAGACGAATTAACTAAAAGAGTAGAAGTTATTAAATCTATTACTGAATTCCTTCATCCTGAATTAAATGAAAAAATTAACGACAACCAACTCAACGAGACTGTAATAAATATGACTGAAGAAGATCCTATCACTAATTTAGAAAATAGTACTGAACCAAAAACACAAGGCAATGATAAAAATGAAACCACTAAACCAAAGACAGAACTTTAAATAATTCATAAAAAATTCTTAGTATGTCTATTTTTAAAATGAACTAATTGTTTATTAAAAGTTAAATTATAAAAAAACAAAATCTAAATAACAATTTTAAAAACAAATATTAAAAAAAAGAAAAAACATCTTAAAAACAAACTTAAAAACAAAGAAGAAATGAGTGAAAAGCCTAACAGATTCAGTTTCAGAGGAAGGAGACCGAGCTTCCGTGAAAAGAAAAAAGAAGGTATGGAAAATGAGAAGAGTTCACAAACTGTGATAATGAAAATTGATGAAATAAAAGAAGAAAAACAAGTAGGAATGAAAGAAATGAGCAAGGTACATAAAAAGAAAGAAAAAGAAGTTAATAACCAACTCCCATCTAAAGCCAAAGAAAGAGTATCAAGAAGTAGTATGTACAGAAAAAGTCTTGACTTAGAAAGAAAAAAAGAAGACGCTATTCGTATACAACAACCTCAACTATCTCGTGGTAGTTCACAAATTATAGGGCAAAGTTCAACACTAGTAACCTCTATGAAAGTTTCATCAAATTTAGTGGTTACGGTTCCTAAAAGGAAGGAACAATTATATAAGAACAGAAGAATGTCTTGGAGGTCAAAGAATTTAAGTGAAGAAAAACGAGATATTTCATTAGTTGCAATGGACGAATATTCTCCAAATGTTTTATCAGATAAAGAGTTAAAGGATATATTAAAAAATGAAGAGAAAAGACAAAAATTACTAAATTCAAGG